GGAGTCCACTTAATTGCAGGAAAAGGCAACAGAAGGTAGTTTTCCTGTGCCCTTAATGGGTCCGTGCCGTCTGGTGATGTTGATTGAATTTGGTTTCTCATGCGGTGGCGGGGGGTCGGAGCCGAGCTCCCCCCCCTCCTTCATCTGCACGTGGAATCTGCGGCCGCACTTTTAAAAGGGAAATCCGGCCAGGCGCCGCGATTTCAAGATGTTAGCTACCTCGCCTTGCATTCAGGAGGTCGTGGGTTCGATCCCGACACCGACGCCTGCTGTATATTTGGAGTTTGCGTGTCTCTCTCCCCGTGTTCGTGTGGATCTATGAATCACTGTGAGGGGGGGGGGGGGGGGGCGGCCACCGAGGCAGCGCCGTTCCTTTCAGGGTCGTCGTCGGCTCCGAACGTCGACTGCCAAACTCGGAAGCGCGCAATTTGCTGCTGGGGTTTTCGCATCGAGACGGGTGACGTGTCCACAAAGTGGTGACAGGGCCGCCTCCCTCGAACTGAGTTCTCGATCGCGATTCCCATGAGAACGCCACAAATCTGGGAGTGCCGACTTTGACTCGTGGGTCCTTTCTGCTTCGTTGCCTCACTTCTGCATCGCTCCGGGTCGGGAGGGTCAGAGGTCGCGGCTAACGACGAGACCCGCTCGGCTCCTCGTCTTGGGCTGACCGCTTGCCACCGCGCGTCGCCAATTAGTCACGTGATGCCGTCCAGATGGCCGGGGAAACTTCGGGAAGGGTGGGGGATGGTGGTGTTGTGGGGGGGGGGCCTTTCCTTCTGGCGCCAGAGGCTGCTCACCCCCCCCCCCCCACCTCCTAGGGGGGCGGGGAGGGGGCACGTGGACAGGGGAGGAGACTTGAACACATCCAAAGCTACTGGCTGCGTAGCTTTCTCGTTCGAGAGCACAAGACATGCAACGGTGGTGCATTGGTATGTGCACTCGGCACTAACGAACTTGTAAACCTGGTTAGATTCCCGGCTGTGGCTAATGGCAGTGGCGAGCTATATCCGAACTGGTTCCTGGGCCTCCCCTAGGTCGACTCGCCCCCTTAAAATGAAGAGTATGTGGTGCGTTGTATATACATTGGGGAGATGAAGGTGGCCGGGCGTGGTGCTGTCAACACTACCCCCTCGTGCGCCGTGCTGGCCTGAATAGACGCTCGGTAACAGCACTTGCCCTGACCGTCTACGTAGCTATGCTGGGAAATGTTGTCTTTGTGTGTCTGTGCAACTGTCTGTGCAACTGTCTGTCATTGTCGATGTGTGTACGCACCTGTGTTTGTATGCATTCCTTTGTGTGTGTGTGTGTGTCTGTCTACATGCTTGCGTCTGTGTGCACGTGTGTGTGTGTGTGCGTGTGGCCCTTGCTTTTTGGTTCTGTAGATTTTTTTTTATTAAACCACAGCACGCATTTTTTAGTAATCCGCTGCTATTTTTTTAATCGAGCAATGACCTTTTGGCGTCCGCCTTATCGTTTTGGCCATCATTCGGAGCATTTTTTATGCAGTTTCCACAACTAAAAATGTTCATCTCCAAAACTTTTCCACAGTTATACCACAGCCACCTAGCTCAAGTACGGTATGTACAATTCATAATTAGTTTATTTTGGGATTAAATCGTTGTGTGGGTTATAATGCCAATTATTAACTGAAACACTCCCACCACCCTCCAAATCCGGTCGAGCCCACGTTGTCACGTCGTGAGGCAAATACGCCAATTGATTGGGTTTATCAGTTTAACCGGAGTGTTTATGGGTGCCATGGTGGCAAGATGTTAACTACCTCGCCCGGTATACAGGAGGTCGTGGGTTCAATCCCGACCCTGACGCCTGCACCTTCTCCCTGTGGTCCTCCGATTTTTCTCTCCACATTTATAAACATGCGTTTTAGAGTATTTGGCTACTATCAATTTCCACATGATAAGCCACGTCGTTGAGTGAACCTTTGTGGCCAGGTCACGTCAGTGGGCCTTACACTGGTAAAATAACAGAAATTGTTCAAGAGTAATAGTTTTAGTAGTTGCAATCATACATTTTAAACATTTTCTACGCGCCGTTTCGCTGGCGATTGCATCCAGCACCATCGGGCGTTTGCCGAGAGGTGCGACCTCGCTTGCGAGCGCTCGTGAGCGTTAGTTTAACTTTGTGTGGTGCCCGTGCAGTCGGTTTGCGCGCGGCGCTCCGAACCCAGCCATCCCGAGTTCAGTCCCCGCTCGCGGCCGACACCGGCCAAACGGCAATGTCCGTACGTCAACGTGGTAACAACCGGCACACACACAAAGCGAAAGGCAAATAGAAAGCGGAGCGATCAATGAACATGGACATGCTAGTTTCACGATTGTCATCGTAGTGCTCTTGTGATGACATCAGAACGGTGCCGTGATGACTGTGTAATGATGCGTTGGTGTGACTCGAGCGTGCCCGTGGCCCTGTGTGCCTGAAAGTCACTTCAAATTTCATCACCCCCACGTGAAGTTTTCACACTCCTGTAGGACAGCCCAGGATGCACAGCTTGCGCATCCTGGACTTGCAAGATAAGAGCCGTTTCTTTTGGTCATGTCTTCGCTTAACCCAGGATTGGGGAAGACATGGCCCACGGCCACTTAGAAACTCGCCCGTCACCGATGCTTATCCGTCCGCAAGCATCTTTGCTGCGCTAATCGGGTGTGAGAGAGGAACGCCTTCAGCATGGCAACAGCGCTGTTGTTCCGTCGCTTTGGTCACCTGACCCTCTGCGGCGGTGCCAGAGGCGGCCGCGATGCTTGATGGCGTGCGCTCCGACAAATGTGCCGGGGATGCCCCGTTCGGCCGTAGCCCCTCTCAAAGAAAACCTCCTGCATCGGTCCGCTCTCGAAATCGGCAGCGGAGTTTTATGAGTTTGTAAGAAGAACGAATAGAGGTCACCTAAAAGTTAAATGCCCCCCCCCCCCATCCCGCCGCACTCCCAAACCGCCACAGCAGCAGACTCCCCCCGCCTCCCCCACCCCCGTCCGCACCACCACCACTCCCACCCCTCCTTCCCCATCCTCCCACATGCTAGCATTCCAAACAGCACGCCAAAGCACACAAACATCCCAGGCATTGGGGTCCCATTTTTACCACTTTCTCCCCCGTCCACCACGACGGACGGACGTTAACCAGTAACAGATTGTCGCGAAATCGGCTCCAGGTTTTACGGTGGGGGTGGTTGGACACGCGCGCACGCGCCCGTGTGCCCGCGCCCGTGTGCCCCCTTGTGCGTTTTGCGCGAGCGCTCGTGTGCTGGTTTTGCAGAGGGGCTGCAGTTGGCTGCGGTTGTCCGGGGGTGGGGGGGGGGGGGCGAGGAGGGGGGGTACGGCAGTAATAGGCCAAACAGGGGCGGGGGGAGCATCGATGGCCCCCGCAGGCCAAGATACGGCCCACAACCACATTTTGTGTGGCCCGTCATTTGATTTCGTAAGGCCCACAACTGCTTTTCATTCTGCCTAAAAATGTGTTTGATACAGCACGGAAAAAGCTTCCGCAGACTTCGCGAGGCTTTTATCAGATGGAACGACATTATTATTATTATTGTTAATATTATTATCATTGTTGTGCCCGTTTACAATTGTTTTAAATTGTTTTGGTGGACAATTTAATCTTATGTTTGCTTTTCAAATGGCTGCTTTCCTTTATGGGCAGCAAGCTAGTCAGGATCATGCGGTCCCTTTCTGTTTGTTTTTGGGCTCAAACAAACTCATGGGAAACGCCTGGTACACAGATTATCCAGCAAAAGTTTGCTGCAATGTCATCAAATCGCAAGCCCTTTGAAGGAACCTCATTTAACCTCGGCCGTTTATGGGCTTTTTTTGTTACACGTGTTTTAATAAGGAAGTGAAACTTGCACTGCCCAGCGTGGCGAAGTGCAGTCCTGTTCTCCTGTAGCACGGCGGTAGTCGCCTTCCTGAAGAACACCGCATTATGGAGCAATCGCGTTATAATAAATAATATAGGGGGTAAAGCACGGTCCACGATAACACGCGAGATGCGTGCGCAGGCCGGACAGAGACTGAGGCGCGTGGGTAGAATCTAGAGGTATCCAGCAGCATCCCAATGCCCTGTGTGATGATGACGCTTACTCCCCAAGGCAGCCATACGACCGCTTGTTCCTACTCGCGTGACGTAGCTCTGGTCACTAGAGGTGCGATATATCCAGTTCCTGTCCGTGTTTTCAAAAATGTGTTCCCCGATACATTCATCGCGTCATATATCCAAATCGCGTGATGAAAACACCACGCGGCGTTATAGAACGGACTGTACGGTCAAACGACCTCCACGACCTGCACAGCATAGGAGGGTGCCTTCATCCAGCAGTGGATTTACCAAATGGGGGCGGCACGTGTACCCGGATCGTGTAAATGCAAAGACGCAAGCGATTATACGCAGCCGCTTTTTGTAAGGCGAAAACGATGAAGTCTTGAGTGTAAAGGAAGGGCTATTTGAGGTGGGAGTGCTGCATCTCTGATGTGTCACCGTTTAGTTTCCGAGAGATAAAGACCAAGCACTTCGTGAAAGTAAATTGCGTGCATTTGAGCACAAGCGTCTGCAATGGATGCTAGGAGGTTTGTGGCAAGATGAGATGAGAGCAGTGCGGAAGTCCGAAGGGAGAATGTGGTGGGTACGTTTTTCTTTTTTTAAGGCAGCATAAAGATTGTGCCACGTAGGATGTGGGTGCAGGAGTTAGGAGGGCTGGCCACCGAGACACGGGCATTGGAAGTGGCATCCACATAGCCCAACTGGACACGGGCAAAACCTACTGGAGCACCTCTCTGAAAAATATTTTCACAACTCATTGGATTCCGCCATTCTATATATAAAGATTCTGATTCTCACCTAATACCAGGCAGATGGGTTGGGCTACCGTTCGGGCAGGCCGTGGATCTGGCGGACCGTGGAACGTATTTGCGAGGTGCGGTGGAACTCCCGCTCCTTCAGTCCTCGATCTTTGTGTTTCATTGTTGCCGTTGTTCCCGTCGCCTGCGCAGGTGATGCGCGTGGACGGTACGGGGCGGAAGGTGCTCGTGGAGGACAAGCTGCCGCACATCTTCGGCTTCAGCCTGCTGGGCGACTGGCTCTACTGGACCGACTGGCAGCGGCGCTCCATCGAGCGCGTGCACAAGCGCACGCTGGTGCGCGAGGTCATCGTCGAGCAGCTGCCCGACCTCATGGGCCTCAAGGCCACCGGCACGCGGCCGCTGGGAGGTGTGGAACGCGTTTGAAACGAAGATCCGTTCGCTGGTTTTTTCCGTTCCGTTTCGAAGTGAAAAGAGAAGGGGCCGTACATACTTTGGGTCTTGGGAAGAATTACTGCGGATTGTTCGGAAAGGTTAGAATATTGTAGGGCGTGATCTTATCTTGTATAACTTCAGCCTTACCTCTAAACCGTAACCAAATGAACCACCAATACAGATTGCTGCCCCCGCATAGCTAGCCACCCAGACCATAGTCCTTCGTCTTGATTCTGACATACCGCCCCCATCATGTTCACAAAACTATTCGAGCAGCGCCGAGCCCAACAACTTAACGAACCAGCCAAGCAACCCCAACAGCACCAGTTACAACTCTAACCGTGACCCAGCACTCCAGGACTTCACGTAGTCCCATTTCTCTCCTCTAGTTCCTTTGTCCCCTTTACGCGCTCGCGGTTTCTGTCGTACGTTACCTCCCGGAAGGGCCGCGTTGTGGACTAAATCCTTCCCCCTCCCCCTTCCCACGCGTCACCCTTAACGACGCATCTCCTGACCTCGATGTCGCCTTTCCTCTCTCCTCCTCCGATCCTGCCACAACCACGCCCCCCGGCCCCGACCCTCGCCTCCACCAAACGGCCGCCGCCGCTTGCAGGTACCAACCCGTGCACCCTCGACAATGGCGGCTGCAGCCACCTGTGCCTGTACCGGCCGGTGGGGCCGCGGTGCGCGTGCCCCATGGGCCTGGAGCTGCTGGGCGACATGCACACCTGCATCCTGCCCGAGGCCTTCCTGCTGTTCTCGCGCCGCGCTGACATCCGCCGCATCTCGCTCGAGACGAGCCACAACGACGTGGCCATCCCACTCGCCGGCGTCAAGGAGGCGTCCGCCCTGGACTTCGACGTGAGCGACGGGCGCATCTACTGGACCGACATCAGCCTCAAGGTGTGCGAGAAAGAGGGGGGGTGGAGGAGGAGGAAGAGAGGGGGGGGGGGTGCCCAAATGATCGAGATGTTAACTCCCCTCGCCTGGTATGCAGGAGGTCGTGGCTTTGATCCCGACCCTGATGCTTGAATAATTTGGAGTTTGCGTGGCACTCTCTCCCTGTGGTCCTGTGGATCTTTCTCCGGGTCCTCTGGTTTTCCCTCCACTTTTCTAAACGTGCATTTAGAGTATTTGGCTGCTATAAATTTCCACTCGATAAGCCACTTCGTTGAGCTATCGTTTGTGGCCAGAAGAAGAGCTGTATAGCTTAGTGGGCCTTACCTGGCAAAATATAAACATTGTTTAGTTTAGTTTTAGAGTAGGGGACAGGAGGGGGGGGGGTGGGTGTGGTGGCTCCGTTGTCGATGGGGTCTGCAAGTTCACATTGTTCCATCGATCAAAATGTTATTGGACACGACCAAGCCACGGCCACACGGTGTCGCAAATGGTTTTAACGTAAGTGTGGAATAGTAGGCCAAATACCTGCTCCTGGAGCTTTCCACAGTAGAAGCCCTCGCGCGAGCAACGCCACGAGCAAGGAATTTCAGGGCTGCGCCTTTTACCGCTTCACCCGAACTCAATAATTCACGCAGCTGAAGTTAAAAACGATGTTTTTGGTTGGAAACTTCTTCTTCTGAATCCCACCCTGTCCATCCACGCCACGCATCCCTCCGCCATCCGCCCCTTCCCGTGCTGCCCGTGCCTCCACCGTAACCCCCCTCTCTCGCGCTCTCTCTCCCCGTCGCCGCGCCAGATGATCAGCCGAGCGTACATGAACGGCAGCTCGCTGGAGCACGTGGTGGAGTTTGGGCTGGACTCGCCCGAGGGCCTCGCCGTCGACTGGCTGGGCCGCAACCTCTACTGGGCCGACACGGGCACCAACCGCATCGAGGTGGCGCGCCTCGACGGCTCGCACCGCCAGGTGCTCGTGTGGAAGGACCTGGACAACCCGCGCGCCCTCGTCGTGGACCCCGAGGAAGGGTGAGGTTTGCACGCGGCTCGCCCACACTGCTCACCCACACGCAGCTCGCCCACACTGCTCGCCCACACGCAGCTCGCCCACACTGCTCACTCACACGGCTCACTCACACAGCTCACCCACACGCGGCTCGCCCACACGGCTCGCCCACATGGCTTGCTACACGGTTCACCCATGCAGCTCACCCACACGGCTCACCCACACGGCTCACTCACACAGCTCACCCACACAGCTCACCCACACAGCTCACTCACACGGCTCACTCACACAGTTCACCCACACAGCTCACCCACACTGCTCGCCCGCATGGCTCACCCACACAGCTCACACACACGGCTCACTCACACAGCTCACTCACACGGCTCACCCACACAGCTCACTCACACGGCTCACCCACACGGCTCACACACACGGCTCACTTACACGGCTCACTTACACGGCTCACTCACACGGCTCACTCACACGGCTCACTCACACGGCTCACACACACGGCTCACTTACACGGCTCACTCACACGGCTCACCCACACAGCTCACTCACACAGCTCACTCACACAGCTCACTCACACAGCTCACTTACACGGCTCACTCACACGGCTCACACACACGGCTCACTTACACGGCTCACTCACACGGCTCATTCACACGGCTCACCCACACGGCTCACTCACACAGCTCACTCACACGGCTCACCCACACGGCTCACTCACACGGCTCACTCACACGGCTCACTCACACGGCTCACACATACGGCTCACTCACACGGCTCACTCACACAGCTCACTCACACAGCTCGCCCACACGGCTCACCCACACGGCTCACTCACATGGCTCACTCACACGGCTCACTCACACAGCTCACCCACACAGCTCACTCACACACAGCTCACACGCACGGCTCACTCGCACAGCTCACCCACACGGCTCACCAAAAAAGCTCACTCGCACAGCTCACCCACACAGCTCACCCACACAGCTCACCCACACAGCTCACCCACACAGCTCACTCACACAGCTCACCCACACAGCTCACCCACACAGCTCACCCACACAGCTCACTCACACAGCTCGCCCACACAGCTCGCCCACACAGCTCGCCCACACGGCTCGCCCACACGGCTTACACACACAGCTCACTCCCACGGCTCACTCACACAGCTCAGCACACTGCTCCCTACATAGTTCACCGCACGGAATCATCTTTAAACAAACCTCCACTACCAGCAGTGGGTTAACAGGTGGCTATAAGGTATGAGTTACTATGTACGTAGGATGACTGTTAAGGATAATGCGACGACAAATGTTAGTGTTGGATTTCGTGTCAAAATGTAGCTGTTATAAAAACCTTAACTTTAAGACGTAGCTTTAGAGTTAAGGTTATTGTTTTGCCTGTGGCAAAGATCGGTTTATAGTATGGAGGCGCGAGGGGCACTGCGAAAGTTAGACACTCCGCTTTGGCTTTGATAAATCTTATCGGCCGGCATTGCGAGTGTAAGTTACAGCGAGCGTTACGACCGTGGGCTCGTGCGAAGGTTTAATGCCGGCATAAAAAAACACAAGCGCATCCCACCCCCCTCCCCCCGCTGTAAATCATAACACCGTTAAATCCTCCCTTCGCAAATGTGTGGGTGTGTGTGTGCGTGTGTGCGTGTGTGCGCATGCGTAAACATTAACGGTGGCGCAGCGGGTAGCGCACTGCACTATGAACTCGATGACCCGAGTTCGATTCTCACTCACGACCACTACCAACATCATTGACGATTATGTGAACCGGTTCTGGGCATTCCCTAGCTTGGTCGACTCGGCTTCAAATGAGTAGTAAACATCGCCACTGGGGAAACACAGGCGGTCCGGCGTGGTCCTGGCCAACCACCCCCGTCGTGTACCGTGCCGGCCTGCCTAGGCAATGCTCGCTTAGCAGCAGTCTGCCGAGCCTATAAGGTGCGTTTGGGATCTTCTTTGTCTTTGTGAAGATTCATGTACTGGACGGAGTGGGGCGGCAGCCCGCGCATCGAGCGGGCGGGCATGGACGGCTCGGTGCGCGTCACGCTGCTGGGCAACATGGGGCGCGCCAACGGCCTCACCATCGACTACGCCGAGCGGCGCCTCTACTGGGCTGACCTCGACACCAACCTCATCGAGTCGTCCAACATGCTCGGTGGGTGCTGCTCCCCCCTGCCACCCACCCACCCCACCGCTTCGCGTCGTGCCCTGCCTGTACCTTGCGTGGCGGTTGCGTGACCTCCAACGGTGACTCTTTGTCGCCGCTCGACGTTGTGGAGGTTTGCGGTTCAAATCCAGCGGCCGCCCGCCGGTCATTACTGTTTTTTTCAAAACGACCCGGCCACAAATGATATCTCAACTAAGTGGCTTATCATCATCACGTGGACATTTATAGCAGCAGCCAAATACTGTAAACGCGTGGGTGTTGATTCTAAATGGGGAGGTAAAAACCGGAGGACCCGGAGATAAAATCAGGCCACCACTGGGAGAGCGACACGCAAACTCGAAATACGCAGCAGGTGTCCGTGTCGGGATCGAACCCACAACCTCCTGTCTACCCGGCGAGGTAGTTAACATCTCGCCACAACGCGCCGCCGACCCCCCCCACCCCTCGGAGTTTCGAGTTTAACGCCGCGTGCCGTCGCTCGCAGGCACGGGCCGCGAGGTGATCGCCCAGGACCTGCCGCACCCCTTTGGGCTCACCCAGTACCGCGACCACATCTACTGGACGGACTGGAGCCGGCGCAGCATCGAGCGCGCCGACAAGGCCAGCGGAGGCAACCGCACGCTCATACAGGTGAGCTCACCTCGTGTAGTAGTCGTAGTAGTAATAATCGTAACAATAATGACCGTCGTCGTCAAGCGAATTGTAACAATGGGTTTGTTTCTGATGGAGCCGCCCTCCAGCGCTTTCCTTTGCGTCGCGTCTCGTGTCAAACAGTCGAAGGGGGGCACTCCGAGTGGCAGCTGCCCCTATGTGGGCACGATGTGACTGATGCCCACGTGGGCATTAGTCTCCCAGTAGGTGGGGGGGGAGGGTGGTGGAGGGGGCGATGATTTCTACTGTGCGTCATCCTAATTGATTTGAGTGACGTAGGCGAGTTCGTGTAACTGCACGCCCTCGTGCAGGTCACTCCCTCGGGGAGTGAATGTCACTGGACGCTTACACACGAGGTCACCGGACCACCGCTGCCGGCCACGTGACGGTAGCCTGCTGCAATCCAGAACCTTGGGAGGGGGGAGGGGTTGGCAGATCGATCGCGCAAGTTTGTGAAACTCCCTGCGTACCCGCGGGCGGTGAGATCGCCATCTCCTGGCTTGCTCGAGTATGGCAATACAGCGAGTTGGTTATATTCCATCTGCACCCCTTCCTCACCTCCCACCTTGCGTAGGTTTCCTCCGGCTATTCCGGTGCCCTCAAAGGCAAAGGTCCCCCGTGTATAGCCTTGGCAAACTGTTTGGGACCAATTCGCTCTGAGCGAGCATTCGTAGGCGCTCAACTGCATGCCTATGGGTACAGGCCAGTTCACTCTCATGTCGGGGAGTTCGCGTAACCGCACTCTGCAGTACAGGAGGACCCGGAGAAAAATCCACGTGACCACGTGGAGAATAAACTCCAAAAATACAACAGGCGTCGGTGTCGGGATCGAACCCACGTCCTGGGAACCAGGCGAGGGGGTTAATATTTCGGCAACGTGCGAATTAGTCGGCGCTGTTTCTTCAATCAACCTGACTGCCGTGACCACCCATTTAGTCGATCGTTCATTCACCCGCTGACGCTGCGACCTCTTCTTACTCTCTCCTCTTCCCCCCCTCCTCCTTCTCTTCTCTCCTCTCTTCCCCCCACCCCACAGGAGCAGCTGGACTTCGTGATGGACATCCTGGTGTTCCACTCGTCTAGGCAGGGCGGCTCGAACTCATGCGCGGAGGACAGCGGCGGCGCGGGCTGCTCGCACCTCTGCCTGGCGCGCCCGGGCGGGTACACGTGCGCGTGTTCCGCCCACTACACCCTGAAGCCGTCCGACAACCGCACTTGCGTTCGTGAGTCCCGCACGAACACACGCACAGACACGCACGTGCGACGGCAACAACCGCCGTTCGCCACTCAGTAGCGGCGGCGTCACCACAGAGCCTGTGCCACACTAGGTGTGTGCACTTTGAGGCCATGTGAAGTGTCTAAGGCCCCGTTGGCAGGAGGTCACGGGACAGACCCAGGTGCCATGGGTTTGACTGACAGACGACTGGCAGATTCGCCACACACAGAGACAAACGTCCCACAGAAAAGAGTGGCACGTATATCCATCGCTGCGCTCTCGCCAAAGTCCATCGGTGTCTCCCTCTGACTTTCTCACCGCTCCCCCACCCCACCCGCTCGCCCGTCTTTCTCGCCCGCCCAGCCCCGAGCTCGTTCCTGCTGTTCAGCCAGCGCAGCAGCGTGAGCCGCATGGTGCTGGACGAGCAGCAGAGCCCCGACATGGTGCTGCCCATCCACCCGATGCGCAGCGTCCGCGCCCTCGCCTACGACCCCCTCGACCACCTCCTCTACTGGGTCGACTCGCGGCAGAACGCCATCCGACGGGCGCGCGAGGACGGAACGCAGGTAGGGACGAAGCGGGCGGAACAGCGAGGGTGGAATGACCCGGGCACTATGAAGCTCTTTCACAGATGTCCAGTAGGGGCGGGTCAGCAAGTTACAACAACAACAAACAATCTGAAAAAACGACGATAGCAGTGCAAAATCGAGAAACGGTAAACGGTGTGAAAACAAAAATTGTATACAAGTCCAAATCTCATGAGTACATACTCGCCTGCCAATTTTTCAACGGTTCGAATCCGCTTTGAATTGTCACGTGGCTACGTTTGATTCCGTAACAATTGTAACGCTTCCCCGATTTGCCACCACAGGTGCTGTCTCTGCTGTCGAGCCCCAGTGCGGAGCTTCAGCCGTACGACCTGAGCCTGGACATGTTCGGCCGCCTGCTCTACTGGACGTGCGAGGCCACCAACGTCATCAACGTGACGCGCCTCGACGGCCGCCCGCTGGGCGTTGTGCTCAGGGGCCCCAATGATCGGCCCCGCGCCATCGTCGTCAACCCCGAGAGGGGGTGAGACATCATCATCATCATCGTCACCACCATCTTCACTGGCATCATCACTTGCATCATCACTGGCAATCATCATCGTTATCACTGGCATCAGCGTCACACTGAGCGTGTCATTTAGGGGGCGCGCTACCGAACAATTCATGACTGTACAAAAAAAAATTGTCTTCTCATTTGTCGTCCCATCAATCGACTCAGTCGTCCGAGCTCTGACCTTCTCCCTCCGTCCCTCGTTCCTTCTCTCACTCGCTCGCTCCCCCCTCCGGCACGCCAGCTACATGTACTTCACGAACATGCAGGACCGCCTGCCGCGCATCGAGCGCGCGTCGCTGGACGGCACGGAGCGCGAGGTGCTCTTCTCCACGGGCCTGGGCCGCCCCGTCGCCCTCGCCATCGACAACAAACTGGGGCGCCTCTTCTGGGCCGACTCGGAGCTCAAGCGCATCGAGAGCAGCGACCTGTCCGGTGAGTCTCTCCCCCCTGACTGGTTCCTGTCAATTGTGAACAGAGCCATAGCTGTAGATTCCCAGGACATTGAATTTAATTTTATTGAATATTCATCAACGTTGGAAATCAATATCTCAATTATTCGTTGCATCCGAGGATTAATTTCAGCCGGATCTGTCCGGGCCGGCGACCTGATCAATACGTACACACTCCCGTCACACCACATCTGGTGAACCTCTCGCTACGGCTGTGTGGCCATAGCGAGAGGTACACGAGATGGGGGTACATTAGCCCACAGGGCTGTGCATAGCGTGTCGTGGGGCCCGGGGCAAATCTCAAATCCCACGTGGGCTCCCTTCGACACCTTCAAACTAAACCGGAAGTGTTGCATCTGATACGGTGACGTCGAAGCACGTGGGGGCCCCCCAAAGTCCGGGGCCCGGGGCTGCCGCCCCGATTTGCCGCGTACCCTAAGGACGGCTCTGCTTACCGCCTTACACCAGTCTACCAAGCAACGGTGGCAAATAATCAGTGACAAACGCATCCCCCCGATCGCCTCCCTAGCCGTAGAACCGTATCGCCTGTTGTACCAAGCGCGCCCCGCCGTGCGTTCGGCTAATGTCGTCGCCACCGACTGACCGTTGCGTTCCACAGGGGCCAACCGGCAACTGCTGCAGGACAGCCTGCTGCAGCCGCTGGGACTCACGGTGCTGGGCCAGTACCTGTACTGGATCGACAGGCAGCCTCAGCTCATCGAGCGCGCCGAGAAACTGAGCAGCGCCGGGAGGACCAAGATCCTGGCACGAGTATCGCACCTGACGGCTCTGCACGCCGCGCAGGAGCTGGACCCTGCCGCATACCGTACGAGCAAGCGGCACACGCAAGTGCCACGCGGCACACGCTAGCGCCACGCGGCACACGATACACGCTTTACACCGCACGGAACACCACACACGGTTGGCACCGCACGCCTCATGGACCGCGTCGCACGGTGAGCGTCACACGGGCAAATTTGCCGTGCTCCATCCAGCGAGGCAGGAATTCAGCCGATCACCGTGCGTGTGCGTGCGCGTGCGTGAATGCAGGGAGCCACCCGTGTGTACAGGACAACGGAGGCTGCTCGCACTTGTGCATCGTGAAGGGTGACGGCACAACGCGCTGCTCCTGCCCCGTGCACCTGGTGCTGCAGCAGGACGAGTTAACCTGCGGAGGTGAGACGCACGCAAGCAAGCACATGCACGCGCACGCACGCAAGCACACGTGTGCACACATGTGCACGCATGTGCACGCACAGACGAAGATTGGGGCAAGCGTTGTCGACAAGCACTTATTTAGGCCGGCACGGCACGCGAGAAGGCGACGGTGTGGCCAAAGCTCACGCCCGTCCGCATTTGTCAAGTCAACCTAGGGAGGGGCAGCTTCAGATATTTGTTTCCGATGTTGACCACGAGCAGGAATCGAAGGAGGTTCATACGGTTTGGCGCGCAGTTGTGTGTATTGCTATGTACGGTGTGATAGAAGTTCAACGTATATTTATATAAAACAAGAAAGACAAATTATTGCTCTTATTGATAGCCTGAATTGTTGGCAATTGTCATAGGCCTCCTTGGGCCTTCAAGCATTAGAACTAAGGCATTAGAACCAAAACGCTGGAACTCGGAGCATAGGAGCAGGACGGAGGAACTCTGAACGCATTGAAGAACCAGGCAGGAACCTTGAAAATGTTACATCGTTGATTAAAAGTCTAAACGTTATTGTGTTCTCCTCCACCACTTTTCCCCTCCCATGACCATCCTTACAACCACCACTACAATCACCACCACCAAATCCTCCGCCACTACAACCATGACCATCCCTAACAACCATTACCACTACAACCACCACCATTAAAACTATCATCACCACTACAACAACAACCACCACCACTAAAATCACAATCACCACGACAATCACCACATTCGTCACCACTACAACCATGACCATCCCCAACAACCATCGCGACCACCACGTCGACCGCCGCCAGAGCCGCCCACGTGCTCGCCGGACCAGTTTGCGTGCCTGAGCGGCGAGATCGACTGCATCCCGCTGGCGTGGCGCTGCGACGGCTACGCCGAGTGCTCGGACAAGAGCGACGAGAGCGATTGCCCCGTGTGCCACCCGGACGCCGAATTCCAGTGCCGCAGCGGGCAGTGCGTGGACGCCGCGCTGCGCTGCAACAAGGAGAAGGATTGCCAGGACACGTCCGACGAGGAGGACTGCACCGGTGAGTCCGCCCCGAGAGACGCTGGGGGGAGGGGGGGGGTGTGGTGGGCGGCACCGTGAAAGTCACCCCGATCTGAACGTCTAAAAAATAAAAATAAATATTACATTTGGCGCGAGGATAAGAGATAAGAGTCGTTGGACTCTGTGTGTGCCCTCTTCTGGATAAATGAGTCAATTTACAATAACATCTGATTTCAGGTGGGGCCCATCCCAGGTTACTTTTTAAACTATTTTTTATTTTACCAGGTACGGCCTGTCCTTGCCCCCACTTGCAGTCACCACCATGTCTCTGACTTACCCTGCGTTCTCCAATTCGTGTTTATTTTGTAAATCATCTTTACTGAGTACGGAGTCCCCGAAGGCCAACAATGCCGGGCAGCCGGCAACAAGCAGCACTTGTGAAGGGATAGTAGATGACTATTAGCTAGGTGTGGACGGACGTGAAGACACAACGTGTTGTGCATTTATAGAGGACTTGCACGAACGGAAGGGCGGTCGGACACACGCGTGAGCATTACATGGATGAGCAAACACGGCTCCCTATTGGCTGAAGGAGCGCACCCACGAATGAGCTCGCCCGCCGTCGGCGGAGGGAGACGATTGACGTCAGACGTGCCTGCCGACGCGGGAGGTGAGAGGTCGGAAGGCGCGCGCAGCAAATGGGGAGACGTGAAGAGGCGTGCCGAGGGTCGGCAGCAGAGAAGTGATTGGGTGGAGAGAAAATGCAGGGAAAGAGCGGGGAGGAGAGGGGGCTCGGGGGCATTAGTTGGTGGAAGTTGAAGTGAACGCACGCTGCAGAAGATAACAAAGCTTCTCGCACATTTTCAACTCGACCGACGTGATGGAGCCGTTGTACAACTCCAATCCTTTTGTCGGTCCGTTGCTGGACAAGGGGCCCCTCCCCCTACGCCATCATCCCACTTGTATTGTTTGAATGCATTGTTCACTCTGCGGCTCGCAACTTAACGCCATCGCTATTTAAATACGTCGGAGAACGAAGGCGCGCGTGTCGGTGAGCGTTGCGGATTTCATGCGTTTGCATAATTTTTCTTGCTTGTTGTGCGTGCGTGTGTCCGCGTCTGTGCGCTTGCGCGTGCACACAGACCCGTGTCTGGCGGACGAGTTCCGCTGCACCAGCGGGCAGTGCGTCAAGAAACTCCACCGCTGCGACGAAAACTACGACTGCAAGGACAGCTCGGATGAAGTCGGCTGCAGTAAGAACATTGCCTCTGCCCACAATGCCCGGCCAGCAGGTGGCTCCCAATTCTGCCCACAATGCCCGGCCTAGGTGGCTCAGCGGTAGAGCGGACCGTCATGAACCGGAGAGCACCGGTATTTTCTTCTAGGAAATATAAAGTAACAAATGAACCAAGTGATAATGGAGAAGTGCCCGTTCTATAATTTGGTGTTCTTTACAAATGTCCAGAGGGGGCGGGGGGGCGGGCACTTTCACCTGATAAGACATCATCAGTGCGAGAGCCGCCACACATTTCAAAGCATTGGGGGTTTGACAGCAGCACGATGACGATGATGGGCGGTGTTTTTACTCTTTGTGTATTGTTGGGGGCCGCGCAAAAGGCCACCCGGGGCTGCCAGTGAGCACTGGCAGCAATTGAACAATCTGGAACCGCGTATCCCCCCACTCCAGGTCGCCTCCAGTCGTCCGCTCGCCCTGACGCGTTACCTCCTCTCTCCCGACGCCCCCCCTCCCCCGCCGCCCGTACTTCACCCCTTAGCTCCCATCGGCCCTGACGGTGAGAAGTCCGGCGTCGCCGAGTACCCGGTGACGAGCATCGCGGGCGCCGTCATCGGCGTGACTCTGGCGCTCATCGTGCTGGCGGCGCTCTACTTCACGTGCCAGCGCGTCGTGTGCCCGCGCGTCAAGGCCGTCTCGGGCGGGATCCCGCAGCCCGAGTTCGTGCTCAGCTCCACCGCCGCCGCGGTCGTGGGCCAGTCCCTGGGCGCGCCGTCCGCCAACGCCTGCGTGGGCATCGGCGGCGGCCCTGGCGCCGGCGGTACCTGTATCGGTAACGGTGGAGTGGGGCAGAACGGGACGGGGATGACCAACGGAGGAGGAGTTCCCACGGGCCACGGAACCCTGGGATACCCGCCACCGCCACCGGCCATGCAGCCGGCGCTCGCAGGTGCCCGTCGGATCGCTCACTCACTCGCTTGTTCACCCATTCCGCTCGCTTACTCAACGTCGCCCTTTAAAGTTTTGCTCGACGTGGTGGGGAGCAATCGGCAGTGCAGCATCATCCATTGTTGCACCGTACTTCCTCTATACCCCCTGTGTCTATGCCACCGGCCTTCACCTACGCACGCTCACCAACGTCGTCCAGCCGTGGGATACCGTTGGGTGCCGGTCACGCACGTTTCACCGAAGTGCTTGGCGCGTTATCTCCGCCGCTGCCGCTCGCTCACACTTCTCTCTCTTTCTCTTACCCCTGTTACCCCTCCTCCCCATCCCCCCCGTCCTGGCCCCCCACAAGGAGTGGTGCGTGGCGGCAAGAGCTTGCTGAGTGCCGTGAGCCTCACCGGAGGGAGCAGCGGGCCCGGCATGTACGACCGCAACCACGTCACCGGCGCCTCCTCCAGCAGCACCAGCAGCAAGACGTCTTTCTACCCGATGGTGCGTGTCACGCGACGCACCCGCGACGCACCCGCGACGCACGCGTGACACACGTGTGATACACGTGTGACACACGGGCGATACACGTATGACACACGGGCGAGCTCCATGGCGTGCACACTGGGAACGCAACGCCATCATCGCGTGGCCCCCGGAAACCCGGCAGTTGTTATGATTAATTATCTCCGGCCCCTCCCGCACCAAGGCCTACCCTAAGGGCCCCTTGTTGTCGCTTTGAAATTATTCTTCGGTGGTCCTTGCTTGTCGCACTGGAAATAAAGATGAACGTTTTTTTCCATAGAAGAAGTTCAGAAGTTCCTTTCCCAAGTCAGTAATTCCGTTGAGCTCAGAAGCTTTTTTTTTCCAACTGCCAGCAGACAATGACCAATCGGCCATTCCTGGTTTATGCAAACGGAGTTTTTTGTAAAGTAAACACGCTTTGCTGTGTGCTCACCGGACAGCCATTTGGCAAGAAACGATCAACGTGCAAACAATAAAAAGTGTTAAAAACAACTTCTAGAAAGGTTACCGCTCATGCTCGCCGTGGTGTGTCCGTCGCTTGATGGCTTCCCTCACCGTGTGTCCGGCGCCTTCCTCCAGATCCTGAATCCGCCGCCGTCTCCCGCGACGGTGCGGTCCCAGTACACGACGGCCGAGTACCTCTACTCCAACAGCCCCTCCACCACGCGCTCGTACAGGTGAGGCCCGCCCGCCCGCTCGCTCGCCACTTATTCGCTCACTCACCTTGCCTCTTCAAAAGTGGCTCGCTTCTTTGCTCAGTTCGATCACTCGCTCGTTTACTCACCGACTCGCTCGCTTAAACGCTCACTCTCACCTACCCGCTCACTCTCACCTACCCGCTCTCTCGCTAACGCACTCGCTTGCTAATCGGAGGTGCGGTGGAAGGACAATAAGCTAAACACAAAAATGAGTTCTAGAGAAGTGAGTTTTCAATCCCATTTGGTTAGCATGGCCAATATCCGCACCACCGGCATATATTCGCTCGCAGTCCGTTTTTATCGCGCGTCACAGAGCGGCGCCACGGGGGGCAGCAGCAGCAGCAGCTTCCGTCCGCCACCACCGCCAACGACTCTCTCCGCTTTCTCCCTCCCCTCCCGCCCCTCTGCGCGCTCGCGTCCAGGCACTACCGGGGCCGCAACGTCGCCCCTCCGCCCACGCCGTACAGCACGGACGTGGGCGAGAGCGACTCTGCGCCCGAGCGCCGGCCGCTCACGCGGCCCAAGCGGCCGCGGCGGCCTCCCCCGCAGCACTTTGCTCCGCCGCCCACGCCGCACAGCCAGTACCTGTCGCCCGAGGAGGACAACAACGGCTACGAGGGCTGCCCGCCGTCGCCAGCGACGGAGCGCAGCTACTTCGAGCTCTACCCGCCGCCCCCGTCGCCCAACACGGACTCCTGCTGAGCGGGAGGGTCTGGGTTGGGGACGGGGACGGGGAGGGTGGACGGAACGGCTGCTGCGCGCGGGGACTGCCGAGTTGCTTCGAGGAGAAACGGCAACTGTCGTCGGTTGCCACGGGGCGCCGCTACCGCGAGCCGTTGCCAGACACGGGACTCCTGCTGAGCGGGAGGGTCTGGCTTGGAGTTTGGGGACGGGGAGGCGGGGGGTGGGGAGGGCGAGGTGGGGAGAGCGGCCGGCCCGGCTGTGCAGGACTGCGAGTGACAACCGGAGAAACGGGCGTTGGTTTGTCCTCTCTCCGTGTCGACCGGCGCTTTTTGAAAGCCGGCCGAACCTCGTTCTGTGCCTAGACGGTCGCTCCGTCCGTCCGTCCATGGAAGACTGTTGACGCGCTGTACCACGTGCTTTAATTTTATATAAAATGCAAAAATAATAGGAAAAAATGTAAAGAGAAAAGAATTAAGATGGGAGAGACGGGGATAGCGCCACCCCCACGTCGTGGACTCGTAGCGCCCGCGTCCCGCGGTTTGGTGGTGCTCGTATTTATCGTCGCGCTGTCACGAGGAACCAAAGCGGGCTCGTTGTGTGTTTTCCTTCAACTCCGAGATTCCTTGCGACCTTACCCCCACGTTCCCCCCCCCTGCGCAACAAACCCTCCCTGCCACCGGCACCGCACAGACGGTCGCTCTCCCCCGCGGTGAAAACCAAAGCCTTGGGGGACCCCGCTGCGAGACACCGGCGGCTCCCTGCGTTGACGGAATACAAGCGTGGCGATCGCAGGGTCCCCTCTGAACATCCCCCGCTCCCACGCCACTCGGTGCAGCTGACCGAGAGAAGCGTACGCGGAGAGGGCAGAACGATCACCCCCACCCTCCCGGTTCGTCACCAAAAGAGCCCCTTTTTTGTAACTTTGTTGTTTGCTTTTCATTTTTGGTGTTCACAACGCCCGCCCCGCCCAGCCCACCCAGCCCACCAAGCCCGTCCACCCCGCCCAGCCCGTCCGCCCTGCGTCGACCCGTAACTCTGCAGCAGCTCACAGCTCTGTGGGGGAACCACTGGGCCAGAACCGACGGTTTTAATGTTTTTCTCGGTTACGTGGTTCTGTTGGAACGCGATCGCCTGTGGCGGCGTGGCAACCACTACCGCAGCGCACGCCGGGGCACTGCCCGGCATCTGTGCCAGCGCCAGTTTTATCGTCAGGTCTGATCTAAAGTTCGAGGCCCCCCCCCACCACCCCCCTCGAAGCTCCCACGAGGGGAGGACGCAACGAGCTGTTGAAGGGTTTCAGAGGGTGGCCAATTGTTTTTTTTCCCCCCATCGTGGGCATTCACGTGAGCGTCGCACACTCGTACGCCGCTACACTTGCGTTCGCTGGTGGTTTGTTTTGTTTTAAAGAGGCGAGAGAGAGAGACCCCATCGTGTGCCACGTACCACGTTCTTCGGAGTTATGACGCACTGTTTTATCCGATATTTTAAATCAAAAGTTGGGTTGGGAGGTGCGTCTTGTAATCCGGCGTGTAACTTTATTGACAAGCGGGACACAACTTAGGCTGGGGGGGGGGGGGGCGTGATTCGTCTTAAGACTTTATCTCTCCCGGGGGAGAATTCGCGGTCACGGGCTGTTGGAAGTCGTCCATTCCCGTCGGTTGTTTTCGCCCCCGCGTGTTTTACGATCCCACACCGGGCGGGGATTAGTTTGTCACGGGCACGAGAATCGCTGTCGCGCCCCGCTCGGCGAATCGACGTCGCGTGCGGGCGCGTCTCAGGCTCCCGACTCTCTCCCCACCGCACCGCGTGTTGTGCGAGTCTCCCCCCGCGTGGTTTACCTGACTTGTAAGGACGAAGAGAAATGCTGTACAGTATTTTTATACATCTTTTGGGGGGGGGGGGGGGGAAGATCGTACGTTAATTTATATAATGGGGTCGGGGTTTATGTTTTCAATCTTCATACATAGTATTTTTATATATATATAATTCTACGGTACACTACTTAATTGTAATAGAGGGAACGTGCCCAAGTTGTGAATGAAGTTAAGACGCATTGAATGCCGGGCCGTAGGGGTGGGGGGGGGGTTAAGGAGTTTAATTGGACTCCCGTCGTGTCAGCGGTTTATTTTCGTAACAAACATGAAATGAACAGTCTGTGACTCACTGTTGCATCGTTTTCGTCGTGCTATTTTACAAAAGAAGTAAGTTATTGGTTACCATCCACCAGGGTTTAAGGGTCACCTGTATAAAACAACAAAAAATTAATTACCATGTTGTCTGATGACCGTGACTGCCCAACCTACTGACCCGTGCCTTGAACTGACCTCCCTTGACCTCCCTGACCCCCTCAACAGCTCCATGGAACTTCCCAGTGTGACGATGACCTATCACCCTGTGATACTTGGGGCCGGGTTCGTGTGTTGCTCTTCCCTTTTCGCTTTTTGGTCGAACATATTTTTTTGCCCGATAAGCGTCTCCAACTTTCGACGTGGTCAAGAGAGTCACCACCGTGGCTGTTGTAGCCATCGATTCCGCATCACCTGGGGGCCACCGTTCTCCCTTCACGCCACGCCACGCTTGTTGTTGTGTTTCGTTTGTTGTCCTACCACCGCACCTCTGATTTACTACGGTTGGCTACGTCCAGTGCGAAAGAAGTTCAACATACGCGCGTGCGTGCATGCGGTCGCGATGAAGTTAATGGGCGGGCTTCAGGAAACTTGCATCCCCGTCACCACCACATGGCTCTCGGGCTACCCCTTGTCACACAACAACAACCGCCGTTCACCACTAAGTGGCGGTGACGTCACCACGACGCTTGTGCCAGGCCATGTGCACCTTGAGGTCACACGCGCGCACACACAGTCGACGGCGTTCGACCAAGAACCGCTCTCGCAAGTCTCATCATCTCCGCCGCCAGCGTGGCCACTCGTGGTCTACACCCCGTGCCACCGACCGCTCCGTGGTGCCACCCTCGCGTCCGTCTCAGCAGGCTGCCCTTCCTTGCCCCCATCGCGCACGCGTTGCAAGCCACCATCGCGACATACTTCCTCTCGATCGTCGTCACCGCCGCTTGAAAACGGTCCACGTTGCTTATCGCATTCCGTGACATTTCTGACATCCTCCCCCCCTCCAGAAAAAAACAACAGGCTTGTATAATAATTATTTGTTAAAGTGTAGCACCCTTGAGCCGTAGAGCAAACGAAGGACACTACTCCACATGCACCACTCGTCTCAACACTACAGGTGACGTCTACTCGTCAACGAAAAGCAGTTAATGTGGCATTATTTTGTTTTCCTCCAGCCGTTTCATCAACACGTAAATGTAATTCTTGTTGCCTCGGCCTTCTTGAATAGGAACGGATGAGATCGATGTTCAGGTTGGAAAGCCACGTGGCGGCTTTCACGCGAGGCAGAATGACTTTCTGGTGCTGCTGCTGCGTTGAAATTTCCGAATTTCGCATGGGGGGGGGGAGTTTGTAAAAACGCGCTCTGCGGGTTTTTTTTTTGTCGGGTGATGATCGAACCTGGCCCCAAGACCTATTTACCCCCCCCCCCCCATCCATCGCGTCTTCATTCTGTAATTGTAACTATGTAAATTAGTCTCTGTACAGTATTGTGTAACTCAACCTTGTAAAGAAATGAATGATTTTTATAAAGAAAGTTTTAATGAAACCTCTGGCTTTGCATCTGTTGATTGGGCGACGGCCTCGCTGTGCGGTTGACACGGGCCCTGGTGAATGACGGGAAATAATCATTGGGTATTCTAATATTGGCAAGTTCTTGCCAAATGCGATTGGCAACGCTGAGTGGGGAAAACGAGCTTCCTAGCTCATTGCTTTCCTCCTGTATAAAGAAATATTCTGATCCATAATATAGCTTTTTTTTGGGTTAGATCGCGTAAATATAAATGTGCCATTAAACCCTCCACCACCCGACACGGCCAATTCGTAAGGTTCGTCACGTGAGTTGAACATGCCAATTCGTTGCTAGTACAGCACACCGGTTTGTTGGGGAGTAATCCCACAACATGTACAATTTGTGCACGACGTTTCGCCAGTAATTACAACCGGCATCATCAGGTGACAGCAAGATTTGTGGAGAAATCCTCCTGTTTCGTTTCTTCGAGCGATAGATGTGATGTCACTTGTGAGCCCTTCTTGTGTGAAGGCCAGGGGGGGGAGGGGGGTTAATGAATACATATAAATTACAATGGGCGATATTCTGACAATGGATTACACCATTGAGATTCGGTTCATACTCTTTAGTTTTTTCGGTAAAGTCACGTAGGTAAAAAATGAAATAAAAATTTTTAATAAAAAATCACGACGTTTCGGAGGCAACACAAGTCTCCGTCATCAGGTGACTTTACTGAAAAAACCAAGAGTATGAATCCTTGCAGTCACGAAAACTTCAAATCTAGAATTGAGACTCGGTTGTTTTCGCGGACCGCGCAGTGAAAGCGCCAACAACCCGCACTCTGATAATTGGTTCTTTACCCTTCTATCTGGCAACAAAACTGACACCTTTTTACAAGGAGTCATGTTTGCATAGACCGCAATACCTGCAGTCATAATACAAACTAAAGAACATAACTCTGATAATGTGCACTGTCCCTGAAGTTGATTGGTCCACACCCGAGACAGCTTTCCTTCGAGCCTAGTCTCATATGGGTTGGACCAGATGACGCCAAAGGGCGCACAACTCAAGGACAATGCACCATCAGAGTATGAGAGCTCGGGGCAAGCATCTACACTATGGGGACCTCATTTGCCAGTAAAAATATGATAATTGGTTCTTTACCCTTCTATCTGGCAACAAAACTGACACCTTTTTACAAGGAGTCATGTTTGCATAGACCGCAATACCTGCAGTCATAATACAAACTAAAGAACATAACTCTGATAATGTGCACTGTCCCTGAAGTTGATTGGTCCACACCCGAGACAGCTTTCCTTCGAGCCTAGTCTCATATGGGTTGGACCAGATGACGCCAAAGGGCGCACAACTCAAGGATAATGCACCATCAGAGTATGAGAGCTCGGGGCAAGCATCTACACTATGGGGACCTCATTTGCCAGTAAAAATATGATAATTGGTTCTTTACCCTTCTATCTGGCAACAAAACTGACACCTTTTTACAAGGAGTCATGTTTGCATAGACCGCAATACCTGCAGTCATAATACAAACTAAAGAACATAACTCTGATAATGTGCACTGTCCCTGAAGTTGATTGGTCCACACCCGAGACAGCTTTCCTTCGAGCCTAGTCTCATATGGGTTGGACCAGATGACGCCAAAGGGCGCACAACTCAAGGACAATGCACCATCAGAGTATGAGAGCTCGGGGCAAGCATCTACACTATGGGGACCTCATTTGCCAGTAAAAATATGATAATTGGTTCTTTACCCTTCTACATTATCAGAGTTATGTTCTTTAGTTTGTATTATGACTGCAGGTATTGCGGTCTATGCAAACATGACTCCTTGTAAAAAGGTGTCAGTTTTGTTGCCAGATAGAAGGGTAAAGAACCAATTATCATATTTTTACTGGCAAATGAGGTCCCCATAGTGTAGATGCTTGCCCCGAGCTCTCATACTCTGATGGTGCATTGTCCTTGAGTTGTGCGCCCTTTGGCGTCATCTGGTCCAACCCATATGAGACTAGGCTCGAAGGAAAGCTGTCTCGGGTGTGGACCAATCAACTTCAGGGACAGTGCACATTATCAGAGTTATGTTCTTTAGTTTGTATTATGACTGCAGGTATTGCGGTCTATGCAAACATGACTCCTTGTAAAAAGGTGTCAGTTTTGTTGCCAGATAGAAGGGTAAAGAACCAATTATCATATTTTTACTGGCAAATGAGGTCCCCATAGTGTAGATGCTTGCCCCGAGCTCTCATACTCTGATGGTGCATTGTCCTTGAGTTGTGCGCCCTTTGGCGTCATCTGGTCCAACCCATATGAGACTAGGCTCGAAGGAAAGCTGTCTCGGGTGTGGACCAATCAACTTCAGGGACAGTGCACATTATCAGAGTTATGTTCTTTAGTTTGTATTATGACTGCAGGTATTGCGGTCTATGCAAACATGACTCCTTGTAAAAAGGTGTCAGTTTTGTTGCCAGATAGAAGGGTAAAGAACCAATTATCATATTTTTACTGGCAAATGAGGAACCCGCACTCTGACCAGCGTGGCGAAGTCCGGTCAGGTTACTAACAAAGCTCACGTTGACGAGGACTCGAGCCGTCAACCTTCGTAGCGAGGCGATGTCTCCCCCTGCTGGTGTCCCGGGATCAATGAGAACAATCTTGATTTGAAGCTTTCGTGACTGCAGGAAAAATCACATAGGTATAAAATAAAATAAATCATGGCCTGCTGCTGAAGCAGACTATGCTTTCCCAACTGATGACGGACGCTTGTGTTGCGCCCGAAACGTCGTGATCTATTTAATTTTCTACCTACGTGACTTTTACCGAAAGAACCAAAGAGTATCAATGAGAACCTTTATTTGGACTGCAGCAGCAGCAGGAGTCCGAAGAGCAGTGAAGCTCTTTGTTCACAGGTGCCCCATTCCGTGCGGGGCTTTATGACGAGCCGGAGTCTGGTCCAGTAATGACCCCTTAGACTCAAGTTCGCCGACACGGTGGCTATTGGAGTGGAGTGTGAAACACAGCGCCGGCACATGTGTAGTGGGTATACAACTCGCGGAGACTTCTCCCTTCTGGAGGAAGCATATTTATTACAACGGAACAATAACACGAAGGGGTACGGCCCATACCACCCGATACTTCGGGAGGTATTCCTCCGGCTAGCCTGCCGAACACTGGCTATGCTCTCGCCTCTTCACTGGTGAAGCTTTTGGCCCGACTCTAGCCAGGGGCTCGGGTTCAGCCCTTTGGGCTCTTCGCTTCGGGTCTTCACGGTGGCAGCTCCAGGCTGGCTCCTGAGTCTTCAGGTCATGGGTGGAAAAAACCCGACTTTTCCAGCGGCAGGCATCGGGTTTTTTCTTTAATACAATTAAACCCGATGTCGGGGAATTAAAACCTGGTTTCATGAATACGAAACTCTGATCCAAGGCTTAGGCTGCTTCCTCGTCGGTGCTGCTATCGTACTCGGGGGGGCCGTCGGGCACGGAGTAGTCTTAGAAGGTTGGTCTTGATGAACACGAGCTTCTCCACAATCGTGGGCACTGCCAGTGAGTTCCTTAGCTTGGAATGGATGAAGCCCATCGTTGAGAAGTTCCGCTCGGATGCCGAAATTAGAGCCAATTAAACCGGATTTCTCCCAATCTCAGATGATCGGGTTTAATATAAAAGACAATTAAACCCGATTGTAAGAAAAACAACTGGCCACTCCTCCCTTCTGGAACCGTCTGGAATGTGCCTGGGGAGTGACGTTATCCCCCAGCCCCCTTCCTGGGGTCTGGGGGTTTGTTCCTGTGGCCCCGAGCTGCTGCTGCTGCTGTAGGGTGACCTCAGCGCCCACGTGTCCTGACTCATCACCCTTAGACTCCCTTCTGCCCCCTGCTGACTCGAGGCCGTTATTGCGGGCTTACCAGTCGTGGCAATCGCGTACAGCGCTCAACGATGCCGCTACACATATATACCGAGGGTCAGAATGGGAATATGCATTCACGCTGGAGGAATTCGATGAGATCTGAAGCTTCTTGGATTTTTTTTTCTACAGAAGTCCAGTCGGGGGTGGGTAAGAATGTTACAACAACAAAAACAATCCAACAAAAAACACGATCGGACTGCAAGAAAGGTAAACAAATCACCAAACACAAATACAACTCGGCCACCCCCATCCTACCAAAGCCCCGCTTGAGATATTAACTTGTCTGTAAAAAGCGACAAATGAGAGCTCAACAAAGTGAGCCCATCATTTGGACATTTATATCAGCAAAAATAATCTAAATGCTCTAAACCCGCCTCTAAACGCAATATAAACGGTCTAAATGCAATCTAAATGCTCTAAACCCGTCTCTAAACGCAATCTAAGTGGTCTAAATGCAATATAAATGGTCTAAATGCAATCTAAATGCTCTAAACCCGTTTCTAAACGCAATCTAAGTGGTCTAAATGCAATCTAAATTGTCTAAATGCAATCTAAATTGTCTAAATGCAATCTAAATGCTCTAAACCCGTCTCTAAACGCAATATAAGTGGTCTAAATGCAATCTAAATGGTGTAAATGCAATCTAAACGGTCTAAAACCACGTCTCTAAATGCAATCTAAAGGCTTCTAACAGACACCACCACCGCGCCACGCTGTCACATGACCGCGGACCCCTGATGGGAGGGTACGAGGGGGAGGGGAGGGGTGCAGTGGGAGGAGAAGGGGGAGGAGTCAGCGCCTCTTCCGGCAGAGGAACCCGGAAGTGGCGCACGTGCTGTGAGTGACACGAGGAGGCGCGCCGCGGAGGGGAAAGTCGCGCCGGTTCCAATTCCAAACCAGGGGGTACCCAGGACCCCCGTTTCTCAGGGAGGTCTGAGACCATCTCTAGGGGATCTGGGACTCCCCCTTAGGGGGTCTGAGACCATCTCTAGGGGATTTGGAACGATCTCTGGAGGGGGATCTGAGACCATCTCTAGGGGATTTGGGACCCCCTTAGGGGATCTGGGACCACCTCTCCGGGGTCTGAGACCATCTCTAGGGGATCTGGGACTCCCCCCTTAGGGGATTTGGAACCCCCTCTCCGGGGTCTGAGACCATCTCTAGGGGATTTGGAACGATCTCTGTAGGGGGATCTGAGACCATCTCTAGGGGATTTGGGACCACCTTAGGGGATCTGGGACCACCTCTCCGGGGTCTGAGACCATCTCTAGGGGATCTGGGACTCCCCCCTTAGGGGATTTGGAACCCCCTCTCCGGGGTCTGAGACCATCTCTAGGGGATTTGGAACGATCTCTGTAGGGGGATCTGAGACCATCTCTAGGGGATTTGGGACCACCTTAGGGGATCTGGGACCACCTCTCCGGGGTCTGAGACCATCTCTAGGGGATCTGGGACTCCCTCCTTAGGGGATTTGGAACCCCCTCTCCGGGGTCTGAGACCATCTCTAGGGGATTTGTAACGATCTCTGTAGGGGGGTCTGAGACCATCACTAGGGGATCTGGGACCACCTCTCTCGGGGTACGAAGCTCGTGGGACCAAGGAAAAAGAAGCGAAGGGAGCGGGGTAAGGAGACGCGCGGTCTTAACCCCATCGACAAGGCCCACCGCCCGAAACGTCGCCTGTTGTATTCCGCACAGCGTCGCGGCTCCTATGAGCGCGGTTGGCTTACGTACGGTGCGAAAGAAGCCGGTGCCTTTGTCGAAGGCGTTGGTGTTGTTGGCTGTGATTGGGTGCGACGCCGCAGCAGCAGTAGCAGCAGCAGCGGCGGCTTCGTGAGCGGCGTCAACATCGCCGTGGTGGTGTTCACCCAGCTCAGGGTCGTCATTGACTACAGCATCATCATCATCAACAACAACAGCAGCATCACCATCAACACCAACAACAGCATCGTAACAGCATCAACAAGAACAGCATCATCAACAAGAACAGCATCATCAACAGCATAATCATTTACAACAACAGCATCATCAACAGCATCATCATCAGCATCATCATCATCAGCATCATCATCAATGACAGCAGCATCATCATCAACGACAACAGCATCATCAACAGCATCATCATCAGCATCATCATCAATGACAGCAGCATCATCATCAACGACAACAGCATCATCAACAGCATCAACAACAGCAGCAGCACCAACAACAGCATCATCAACATAATCATCACCAACAACAGCAGCATCAACAACAGTATAATCAACAGCATCAATAACAGCATCGTCAACAGCAGCATCTTCATCAACGACAACATCATCAACAGCATCATCAACAACAGCAGCATCTTCATCAACGACAACATCATCATCATAATCAACAGCATCATCATCAACAGCATCAACAACAGCATCATCATCAACAGCATCATCAACAACAGCAGCATCGTCATCAACAGCAACATCAACAGCATCATCAACAACAGCATCATGATCATCAACAGCATCATCATCAGCATCATCATCAACATCGCAGGATCGTCATCATCGCAACGGTGCCATTGTCTTAATCGCCGTCTCGTGATCCAGAATCGGATTGTAATCATCATCATCGTCGTCGGTCACGATCGATCCACTAATGGATCGATCGCCGCTGTACCAGACCGGGCCCTAGAGAAGGCCGCTGTCTCTGTTGTGAACCAATCGATTTCAAAGTCAACGCATCATCTGTTATAATTATGATTATCAGAGCATGGCGTTTGATTGCATGTTCGCTACAAGTACAGTGTGTGATTAATGCAGACTGGAGACCTTACAAAGGGTTTCTATTTGGTGTTTGAACATCTGAACTGTTTTATTGCCAGAAGAGGTGTATCTATATATGTGTGTGTTGTGTCTTTTTGTCATTTTACCCGGCAAGGCCCATTGAGCTGCTACGTTTCTCTTTGTCAGAAGCTGCCTGGTCATCACAAACAGCGAAGTGGCCCAAAGTCGTCGTCATCATCATCGCGTGCACATGTACCGCAGTAGCCGAATCCTCCTAAACGCCCTGGGCCCACTGACTTAATTCTAGATTTGAAGACTTCGTGACTGCAAGGATTCATACTCTTGGGTTTTTCCGGTAAAGTCATGTAAGTAAAAAAATTAAAGAATAAGATAAATAATAAAATTAATAGAAATAAAATAATAAATCACTATTAATAAATAATACATCACCCACTGACTTATCTCGAGAGAGAGCGGCTTGCCTCTGCTGGATGACAACAGTGGCTTTTTGTTCAACTTTGCCCGTCCAGTTGCCCGTGGAACTGCTCCCGCGCAGCTCCGTGCTCTTCACGACGCTCTCCGCGGGCAGCAGCGGAGGAGGAGCGGAGAAGGAGCAGAGGAGGTGACCCGGCGAGGATGGGCGACCCGGGCCGAGTGGAGGAGCTGGAGCCGTACTCCGTGCTCGGAGTTTCTCGCACCGACTCGCCCAGAGCCCTGAGACGCCGATACCAGGAGCTCGTGCGGCAGGTGGGGTCACCGTGGCTCCCCGTGGCTCCCCGTGGCTCCCTGTGTCTCCCCGTGGCTCCCTGTGTCTCCCCGTGGCTCCCTGTGGTTCTCTGTGTCTCCCCATGGCTCCCTGTGTCTCCCCGTGGCTCCCTGTGTCTCCCCGTGGCTCCCTGTGTCTCCCCGTGGCTCCCTGTGTCTCCCCGTGTCTCCCTGTGGCTCTCTGTGTCTCCCCGTGGCTCCCTGTGTCTCCCTGTGGCTCTCTGCAATCTGCATCTCCCTGTGGCTTTCTGCATCTCCCCGTGGCTCCCCGCGTCTCCCCGCGTCTCCCCGTGGCTCGCCGTATCACTACACCTCGATCACCCCCCGCCCCCTCCTTCACCCCCCCCCCTCCCGTGATGTCTCCTGCCTCAGTTGTAAACGACGAGTCGCCACGTCGCCCGCAAATTAACACCCAGTCCGTGCGCGCGGAAGAACAGCCGGTTCCCTGTAGCCGGGGCAACCAACCTGTAGTGTCGGTTTTGTTCCCTGTAGTCGTGGCAACCGACCTGTAGTGTCGGTTGGTTGCCTGTAGTCGTGGCAACCGACCTGTAGTGTCGGTTGGTTGCCTGTAGTCGTGGCAACCGACCTGTAGTGTCGGTTGATGCCTGTAGTCGTGGCAACCGACCTGTAGTGTCGGTTGGTTGCCTGTAGTCGTGGCAACCGACCTTTAGTGTCGGTTGATGCCTGTAGTCGTGGCAACCGACCTGTAGTGTCGGTTGGTTGCCTGTAGTCGTGGCAACCGACCTGTAGTGTCGGTTGGTTGCCTGTAGTCGTGGCAACCGACCTGTAGTGTCGGTTGGTTGCCTGTAGTCGTGGCAACCGACCTGTCGTGTCGGTTGGTTGCCTGTAGTCGTGGCAACCGACCTGTAGTGTCGGTTGGTTGCCTGTAGTCGTGGCAACCAACCTGTAGTGTCGGTTGGTTGCCTGTAGTCGTGGCAACCGACCTGTAGTGTCGGTTGGTTGCCTGTAGTCGTGGCAACCTACCTGTAGTGTCGGTTGGTTGCCTGTAGTCGTGGCAACCGACCTGTAGTGTCGGTTGGTTGCCTGTAGTCGTGGCAACCGACCTGTAGTGTCGGTTGGTTGCCTGTAGTCGTGGCAACCGACCTGTCGTGTCGGTTGGTTGCCTGTAGTCGTGGCAACCGACCTGTAGTGTCGGTTGGTTGCCTGTAGTCGTGGCAACCGACCTGTAGTGTCGGTTGGTTGCCTGTAGTCGTGGCAACCGACCTGTAGTGTCGGTTGGTTGCCTGTAGTCGTGGCAACCTACCTGTAGTGTCGGTTGGTTGCCTGTAGTCGTGGCAACCGACCTGTAGTGTCGGTTGGTTGCCTGTAGTCGTGGCAACCGACCTGTAGTGTCGGTTGGTTGCCTGTAGTTGTGGCAACCGACTTGTCGTGTCGCTACAGGTCGGTGGCCTGTGGAAACAGTTCCACTCAGGGCCCACGTGGGGGCAGCGTTTGACCGAGCCAGGGGCAGTGGCCGCATAGAGACCCGTAGACTTTCATTGAGACCCATAGACTCCTCGCGTAGAGACCTATAGACTCATCTCACAGAGACCCATAGATTCCTCACACAGAGACCCATAGACTCCTCACACAGAGACCCATAGACTCCTCACATAGAGACCCATAGACTCCTCACATAGAGACCCATAGACTCCTCACATAGAGACCCATAGACTCACTCATAGAGACCCATAGACTCCTCATACAGAGACCCATAGACTCCTCACATAGAGACCCATAGACTCACTCATAGAGACCCATAGACTCCTCACACAGAGACCCATAGACTCCTCACACAGAGACCCATAGACTCCTCACACAGAGACCCATAGACTCCTCACATAGAGACCCATAGACTCACTCATAGAGACTCATAGACTCCTCACACAGAGACCCATAGACTCCTTGCATCCAGACCCATCGACTCGCATAGAGACCCATCGACTCGCATAGAGACCCATCGACTCGCATAGAGACCCACTGACTCGCACAGGCTGAGTTGTGATGGAACCATGTTCTCAGGTTGCGAGAGTGAACGGTCTGCCCGGTCTCTCTCTCTCCGTGAGACGCGTTGACTTGCCCCGACCGAGTTGTCATTCGACTGGGTGCTTCAGAGTCATCGGTTGAAGAATCTCAGCCCGCTCGCAACAACACGGAGAGTTACGTTGAAAGCGTGCCACGGAGTTTAAGCAAACGAACCAGCAAATAAACCGAAAAATAAACAAGCAAATTAACAACCCAACAAAATAAAAAAATGAGCTGACCAAAAATACGTAAATAAACAAGCCAGCAAATGAACACATTAATACACAAACTTACACATAAACAAACCAATAAACAAATCAACAAATAAACGAACAGACCAACAAGTCAAAAAAACGATAGATTAATGAAGGTGACGACGACGCTGGGAACCGCCGATCCGGTCGGGAAGCGTTGAGGACAAAACGAATCCAAAACCAAAACTGAACCGAGCCCAAAGGTTGGAGCAAGCAGGTGGTGGATCCGAGCTGGTGGGGGACCGTGGGGGTGGGAAGAGGTGGAGGAGGTGGTGGAGGTGGAAGGAGGGAGGAGGGAGGAGGGGGGGGGTGTTTAATTATCGGACGTGCGAAAGCCACCGTCGAGTCTGGCGCGCCAGCTATCGATCCATCGATCGCCGGCGCCGCCGCACCTCGGCGTTTGCCGGTTAACGAGTCGGGGGGGGGGGGGTGTGGGGGGGGAGGTGTGGGGGGAGGGGCCGTTGTGGGGGGGGCCCCGGAGGGACGCTCCGTTCGGCCGCCCGAGCTCGCGATCGCCGCTCCCAGCTCCCGCGACCGCCGTTGATGGCTTTGAGATCATTTGTTGGGGAGTAGGAGGCGATTAAAATGAACGAGCAAATGAATGAGTGAGTGAGCCGTTGAATACGTAATGATATGTATTATTGGATCAATAAACGATTGAGTGATTACATTAAATAATTATTGAATCAATGAATGATTGAGTGAGCGGACGGGTGAGTGCACAGGCGAACGTGCGAGCGTTTCCCTCGCATGCCGGCAAATGATTGTCAAAGAGTGGACCGAGTCGACGATTGAGTCGGGATATTGAACGAACTAACGGATGAGTGAGGTTCTCGACGGCTGTGCGTGTGTATCTGCCCGCGACCTCTGACCCCCGCGCATGTGTGTCCACCCGCGACCTCTGACCCCCGTGCATGTGTGTCCGCTCGTGACCTCTTACCCCCGCGTGTGTCCACCTGCAACCTCTGACCCTGCGTGTGTCCGACCGCGACCTCTGACCCCAGCGCGTGTGTCAGCCCGCGACCTCTGACCTCAGTGCGTGTATCCGCCCGCGACCTCTGACCCTCCCCCCCCCCCCCCCCACGTAGCTGCACCCGGACCGAGCGGCCCAGGGCCTGGGCAAGGGTGAGCGTGAGGAGCAACTCCGGCGCTTCCTGGAGGTGGAGCGCGCGTGGAGGACGCTGGGAGACGCGGAGACACGCAGAGCGCACGACCTGCGCGCACGAGGTGCGAGACGCTGCAAAGATCCCCCCCTCGTCGTAGCCTTAACAGACTGTTGGGGCAAGTGCTGTTGGCGAGTAGCCACCTATGAAGGCCGGTGCTGTGGCACACAAGGGGGAGAGTGACCAATACCACGCCCGTCCGCCTTTGTCTCCCCAGTGGTGATATTTACACACCGCACAAGGTCGACCTACGGGAGGCCCAGGGCCAGTTCAGATATTATTTTGCCGATGTTGGCCATGAACGGGAATAGAACCGCGGCCGCCGGGTTCGTAGCGCAACGCGCCAACCACTGAACCACCGCTCCCCGCACTCACGCACGCGCCCGTTCACGTGTACACGCGTGTGCCCGTACATGCGTAGATGCGCGCTAACCAGTCCCCTCTCCCGTCAGACAGGGCCCTGCAGCAGGAGGGTCCCATCCAGGACAGCTTCTCCATTGACGACATGGACTGGGATGACGGTACGGACAGCCCATTTCCGTGTCCCCTTGTCTCAGCATGTCTCACCATGTCCCATCGTGTCCCATTATGTCCCAGCGTGTCTCAGTATCTCTCCATGTCCCACCGTGTCCCACCGTGTCCCACCGTGTCCCAGCATGTCCCAGCTTGTCTCAGCGTGTCTCAGCATGTCTGCATATCCGACCAGGTCTCCCCACGTCTCCCCTTTGTCTCCCCGCGTGTCCCCACGTTTCCCCGTGCGAGCAGACCAGTTGGAGGCGTCCCGGCCGTGCCGGTGCGGCGGCCTCTTCACCGTGAGCGCCGCCGAGGTGTGGGGGGCACGGGGGGGCGAGGGGGGGAGCTCTCCCCCGCCGCCGTTGCTGCTGCTGGGCTGCGACACTTGCTCCTTGCGCGTCGAGCTGAGCGGCGCCAGCGGCTGACGGACGCCGTGGGACGGATGCGCGGACGATGGCTGCCGCGGGGGTGGGGGGGGGCGATGCGACTCCGCGGGGCCCTGTGGGTCGTGCGTGGACGGCGCTGCGCGGTGCTGATACCCCACGCACCGACCCCTGCACGTCGCCGAGCCCCATGCCGCTGGCGCTGTGCGTGGTGCTGGCGCTGTGCGTGGTGCTGGCGCTGTGCGTGTTGCTGGCGCATGCTGCTGGGGCTTTCTGTAGAGAGTTCTTCTCTCTCTGGAGGGATTGTTTGAGAGACTAAGAGGGGTACTCTCCGGAGAGTTCCTCTTTCTGGAGGGACTCTGTCAAGCTCCGCCTCGTGAAGACCCTCTCTTTGCCCAAGCTCTAAGGTCCGCTCCATATCAAGGTGTTTTCGCCCAATTAAGTGTTCACACGTGGGAGAAAACCCACGAGTGCGAGGGAGAAACGCTCTATCCCGTGCAGGCGGGGCAGGTGGGAGTCCACATTTGCTGGAGCCGCCATCTCCTGGCAGGGCCAGGGGGTACGACGGCGTCTCCTCGACGCCCACGGGAAGGAAGGGAGTTTCGCAAACGACATCCGTGTGTGGTCCACCAACCCCTCGCTGCTGCCTCCACACAGCGCGGGACTACAGGCAGTGGCCTCGTGCAGCAGCGGCGTTGCCACCACCGCTCTCTCGCGACTCCTGCCTCTCCTCGGGTCGATTAAAATGAGTGAAATCGCTTTTTTCTGGAAGTCTGCGGTGGTCTTTGGGGGGCTTTTGACCGGTACCCGCCACGGCGCTGTGGAATTTCCACCGGAGCACTCGGGACCCGCAGCATGGCACGAGGGGGCAGTGGCGCTCGGGGTTTAGAGTCGGGGTTCAGGGTTCAGGCTTTAGTTTGGTTTGGGGTGATGGGTGAGGGGTTAAAGGTTGCGTTAGGTTTAGGGTTGTAGTTGGTTTAGGTTTAGTGTTATGGTTATCGTTTGGGTTAGTTTAGGGTTTTCGTTGGGTTAGTTTTAAGGTTATACTGTAGTTGGGTTAGGTTTAGGGTCACAGGTTGGGTTAGTGTGAAAGCCTGAGCGGGAGGCCTTAACGATAACTTCGAGTTGAGAGTAAAGTCCAGGGTTAGAGTTCGAGTTGGGGTTAAATAAAGTTGGGATTGGGGTAAGAGTGAGGTTTAGGGTTGGCATCGGGGCTGGGTGAGGGCTCTACGTTAGAGGAGATGGTTGTCGTGAGTGAGATGGGGGGGGCGGTGGTTAGAGTCAGGATTTACGGTTGGGGTCAGAGTTCGCGGTGAGGGCCAGCGGCAACGGTTGGCTGCGTGCGACGTGAAAATTCTCGCTTCGAGTTTCGGCCAAAGCGAGGGGGGTGGGTGAGGGGTGGGGGGCGATGGGTGGGGGGGCACACGGGGGTGGCGGCGCGGTTTCTCTCATGGACCCGGGCGCGGCCCGCCTGGATTTATTAGCCGTGACATCAATTAGTGACGATCACGTCGGAGGGGCCGAGAGGAACTGACAGCGGCATCATTAGAGCCGAGCGCTGCTGCCGCGCCTCTTATCCCATCCCACACCCCTCCAGAAAAAAAAAATCACAGCCCATCCCCTCCCTCCCCCATGAGTGGTGGTGATTGTGGTAGTCGTGGTTGAGCGGCGGTGGTGGTCGTGGGCGAGTTGTTGAGTGGTGGTGATTGTGGTAGTAGTGGTTGAGTGGCGGTGGTGGTAGTGGGTTAGTGGTTGAGTGGTGGTGGTTGTGGTAGTTGTGGTAGTAGTGGTTGAGCGGCGGTGGTGGTAGTGGGTTAGTGGTTGAGTGGTGGTGATTGTGGTAGTAGTGGTTGAGCGGCGGTGGTGGTAGTGGGTTAGTGGTTGAGTGGTGGTGGTTGTGGTAGTTGTGGTAGTAGTGGTTGAGCGGTGGTGGTGGTCGTGGGCTAGTGGTTGAGTGGTGGTGATTGTGGTAGTAGTGGTAGTGACTGAGTGGTGGTGGTGGTGATGAAAGCTGAACCATGATGGTGACGTAGTGGTTGAGTGGTGGTTGTGCTGGTGGTTGTCGTAGACAGAGACAGACGAGTGGGGGAGCTCCAGGATGGACCATCCCGGCCCCCCACTGTGCCAAGATCTGCAGGTCACGGATTGGCCGATGTCAGCCATCTCTGGACCCATGGCCAGCCAGGCCCAGCTCACAACACGGAGAAGTGGCGCCTGGAGGGAAATGATGACTACGAGGGGTCCCAGAAGAAGAATAAGAGGTGGTTGGGTGGTGGTGGTGGTGGTTGGGTGGTGGTGGTGGTGGTTGGGTGGTGGTGGTTGGGTGGTGGTGGTGGTTGGGTGGTGGTGGTTGGGTGGTGATGGTGGTTGGGTGGTGGTGGTTGGGTGGTGGTGGTTGGGTGGTGGTGGTGGTTGGGTGGTGGTGGTGGTTGGGTGGTGGTGAGGGACGGGAGCTCCATGAATGCCTCTCCTCGCCGCTCCACCATTGAGCTCCCCCCCACCCCCCCCTTCTCATCCCCCCCTCTCCCCCCCACAGTTCTCACCACCTCGCTCAATCCAACCAACATTCTGTACTTACACTTCCACTGGTGATGCCCGCTGTTGGCCTCCGAGCGTGTCGCGCCTTGGGCCCTGTGCTCGGCCACCGCGAGTCTCAACCGACCCCTGGCCTTCATCGGCGCTGCTCGCCAACAGCACTTGCCCTGACACCTTGTGTAGGCTATATGGGGAACCTTTTTTTCCGTCCTCCCGTTGAAAAAAAAATCGCCAATCAAATATAATTTTTTTTTGCACCAATTCTAAAGTAGCATCGAGCTTGGGCAGTGCTGGTTGTTGCTGGCCGCCTGGCGTGATTTTCAGATGTTTTGTTTTTTTAACTAACTAACGAACAACCCCCCGATTTTCAGAAAGGCGGGTCCCACGTGGGTTCGCCCCCGAAACGGTCCACCGAATCGGAAGAAAAGTCGACTCTGGGGTTCTCGCAGCTCTTGACTTCGTTACTTCATTAATGAATTACTTAATTTCAGGATGGGCATTTTAGGCCTCTGGGAGGGGGGAGGGGAGGAGGTGGTGGGTGGGGGGGGGATAAATAAATAATTAATGTGGGCGCCGCTGCTGCTGCTGAACATTCAAGCGCCGCGCTTTAAATCGCGCTCATTGTTTCCACGCCGTTTTAAGCGCAACGTCGCGTTCCATCGGAGGCGCTTCCATCACGAGGACAATTAGCCTCATGCCCGCACACACATCTGGGACCGCATCCAAAACATTCAGCCGCGACTCGGTACGGCTCTCCCCACACACACACACCGCCACACACACACACACCGCCACACACACACTGCCCCCCATACACCGCCACACACACACCCCGCTCCCCACACACACACACTGCCCCCCATACACACACACCGCTCCCCACACACACCTTGATCGTAAACAATGTTGGTTTCCAAGAGTAATCTGAGATATCCCAACAAGTACGGCACGCGTGCAGAGCGTCCCGTTTAATTAGTTTTATTCGCTGGCAGCTAGTTAGGGATGGCTCACTAAATGGGACAATCGGTTAAAATATTGATGTTCATTATTCATGCATTTCTTTTTCAGAACCATGTTGAGTCATGCAGGGGGGGGAGTGTGGGGGGGGGTCCTCGGTTCAAACAAAATGCAACAAGGGAGGTGGGTTCACACGTGGACACAACCAGGTCGAGAACTTTGTGAGCTTTGGAACGGAGTGCGGGTCGCCATACCTGCACACGTGGGTGGTGGAATAATCAGGAGAACCACCCACCACAACCACCCACCACAACCTCACCCCAACCACCCCAACCAACCAATGACCCACCCCAACCACCCACCCCAACCACCCACCTCAACCACCTACCTCAACCACCCACCCCACCCCAACCACCCACCCCAACCACACCAACCACCAACCCCAACCACCCACCCCAACCAGCCACCCACCCAATCCACCCACCACAACCACCCACCCCAACCACCCCAACCACCCACTACAACCACCCACCACAACCACCCACCCCAACCACCCACCCCAACCACCACCACAACCACCCACCACAACCACCCACCACAACCATCACCACAACCACCCACCACAACCACCCACCACAACCACCCACCACAACCACGTGTCATTCCACCCGGGCGGGTGGCGGAAATTCATCGCCACCGCCATCACCACAGGGCGTGGCCACGGTGGCTAGGAGATGTTAACTACCTCGCCTGGTATACAGGAGATCGTGGGAGATCTTGACTCCGATGCCTGCTGTATATTTGGAGTTTTCATCTCTCTCTTCCCATAGTCGTGTGGATTTTTCTCCGGGTTTTCCCCCTCCACATTTAGAGACACGCCTTTGGATAATTTGGCTGCTATAAATCTCCACATGGTCATAAGCGACGTCGTTGAGCTATCATTTGTGATTGCCGGGGTTGCTTGCCCGCTCCACAAACGCGAAGGGAACGTCACAGCGACACACTCCGCTTGCTCCGGACGCGGTTATCTTGGCTTTGACCACCCGAATGTAAAATTGAATTTCGCGTGAATGCCAATATCGCCATCACAATCATCGTGATCATCACCACCTCTTCTTCCAACATCACCATTTTCATCGTCATCCCCCCACCCCCCCCTATCCTCTTCAACCATTGCCCCCCGCGGTGAAGGGAAGGGGCGGGCGGGGTGCGTGGTGCCCGGAGCCTAAAGGGATTACATGCTCGCTGCGCCTCATCAAGGGCGCTGTGACCGTGCCCGCGGCGCGTGTTCCCTGGCAGCAAGAAACCCGGGGCCCTCCGGGGGCCCTGGTACAGCCAGGGACTAATCTTCGTCTCGATTATTATTATATTATTATTATTTTATTATTTTCATTGTCTGCCGAGATCCATCTCTCTCCCTCTCTCCGTCTCTCGCTTGCTGCTTCCCCCCCCCCCCACCGTGTCCTGTTCAGTGTTCGTTGCTGTGCGCCAGCCATGCGTGACTTCAAAGTTTATTTCGTGCGAGTGCACGTGTTTGCTTTATGCTTTTGTGATTTTTTTCTCTCTCATATATTAATGAGCGTGCGTCTGTGCGTCTGTCTGTGTTAGTTGTCTGTGTGTGTGTGGAGGGGAGAGCGGTAGTGTAGCTGTTAGCGCGCTGCGCACTAACCCCGGTGACCCGAGTTAGATTCCCGCTCACGGCCAACACCAGTGACGATTATTTGGACCGAGTCTGGGCCTCTCCTAGGTCGACTCAGCCTTAAATGAGTACCTGATGCGGTGTGTAAAAATCACCACCGGGGAGACAAAGGCGGCCGGGCGTGGTGCTGGCTACCCACTCCCTCGTGTGCCGTTCCCGCCTTCATAGGTGCTCGCTTACAGCACTTGCCGCAACAGCCTGTTACAGCCTGTTACAGGCTATATGGGGGATCTTTGTCTTTGTTGCGTGGGGGAGCGGTGTCGCAGTGGTTAGCGCACTGCCCCGGACAAACCACTCGGCGCCGATTCCAGTTCGATTCCCGAGGAACCGGTCCTGCTCCTCCCCTAGATCGAGTCGGCGTCAAATGAGCACCTGGTGCGGTTTGAAACGATCACCACTTGGGGAGACAAAGGCGGCCGGGCGTGGTGCTGGCCTACCCACCCCCCCGTGTGTGCCGTTCCGGCCTTCATAGGTGCTACTCGCTAACAGCACTTGCCCCAAAAGTCTGTGACGGGTGGGGGGGGTCTTTATGTGTATGTGTGTGATCTTTGTGAGTGAGTGTGTGTGT